TTCGAGGTGCTGCCAGCCCGCCTTGTGCAGCGGGCCGGGCTGTCGCACACGGTGCCGGGGCCTGAGAGCGAGGACGCAGTGGCACGGACAGGCAGGCCCCGGTTTGGAGGGCAGCCCGTTGCGGAGCAGAGAACTGCACCTCGTTACACACAGGGTTTTCCACCAGGGCAGCCCCGGTAGCCACCGCCGCTAGCGGAGGCGGCATCTTGGCTCATGACACTGGTCGCTCCAGGCTCTCTGAAACCTCCCCAGACCTTGCCGCACGGCTGGCTCTCCGCAGAGGGGGCAAACGCTGTTTTCACAAGCAACCGTCTCCTTGCAGGTGTGCCCGGAGATGGGCAAGCTCTCCGGGGTTTGTCGGATTAACCTAGGGCTGCCTGGAGCTGGGGAAGGGACGCGCCAGCCCGCGAACCAAAGCACGATGCTGGGAGAGCAAGGGAATCGCCCCGGGGTAGAGTGCAAGGCCGGCGGGTCTAGGAGCAGCTTGGGCTGGTCCCAGCCCAGAGCCAGGCATTGCTTTGCTTTGCTTCTCTATAGACTAAGGTCTCAGCTCTGCCTCCTGACGCTGCAGCCGCTGGTCTCCTGCTAAAGCCATCTCAGCCCTGGCCAGGGCTCTCTGAGACTGTTGGGGCTGTTATGCACCGATAGGTGAACCTGACTGCTGGGGAATGCCTTCAGCTTGGAAACCTCGCTGGAAATGTTGGCAGAACCGCTCATATGAGTTTTGTAGCAACCCAGGCGCTTTGGCTGGACCAGAGTTGAGCATGAATCACTCTTATTTATAGTAGGGGAGCGCCCCGGCGAGTCCCTTACGCCACTTTTCACGTGGAAAGCCGCGGCAGTTCCCTGCCCCACGGACGGTCCCCCCGCGCAGCTCGCAGCCTGGTTGGAGATGGCGGTGAGGGATGGGGACCGATGCTCCGGCCACCGCGAAAGGCTAGCGGGAAAGTTGTGGGGAGCTCTTCCTCTCACCCCACTCCCCCAGGCCCGGGGGGGAGCTCTGCAAGGGAGGCGATTGCAAAGGGAGAAGCAAGCGCAGCCTTGCCTGCTCAGGAGAAAAGCACACAGGAGAGCGAGAGCAGGCTTTGAGCGAGCCCAGCGCACGGAGGGCTGCCAGGGGAGCTGGCGTCGTGTCCTCAGGAGAGTGGAGCAGAGGGAAGAGGGCATCTGAGGACAAGGCTATTGCTCCTCGGCTACCGCAGCAGTGTGTCTTCAAGCAGTGATTTTCCTCTGCCCTTATCCTTTGCACTAGCACCTTTGGATCTGGAGAGAAGGGCACATGCACACAAGCACATATGCCAGAAAGTCCCCGCGTTGATAGGCTCCCAGCCAAGAAGGACAGGACGGGCAAGAGAGGAGAGAAAGAAAAGACCAGCTCTATACTACAAATAAGAAACTGTGTCAGGCTACAGAGAGTTGCCCAAGGCCATGCAGAGAGCTTACCTGCAGCTCTGCAGCCATCCCAACACCATGTCCCCAGCCCCTCCTGCCCTCTCTCTGCTCGGGGTCCCACGGTGCCTGGGTGTTCAGCATCCCTGCATGAGTGCCGAAACCCTTTGGGCCCTTGCTCATCTTACACAGTGTGTCCGCCTCCCACGCTGGATTTGCCTTGACGGGTAACGGTCTCAGAGGCTTGTGACCGTGGCCGTTCTTGCGTTGGTTTTGGAAGTGAACCATTGCAAATCTCGAGCTCTGCTTCAGCTAATCGGCGTTTTCCTCGGCAGAAATCCAGCAGTGTGGGGCTTCTCCCAAGGGTTTTGGCAACCTGATGTCATCTGACACTTCCTGGTGTTTGTGAGGCTCAGATGGGGCAGGAGGTGAGGCAGGAGACGTCTTCTGATGCCTTCTCCAGGGCCTGGAGAAGTTGGGCTCCACAGAGTTTGGGTGAAAGGCTGGGCTAACGCTTGGTTAACTCAGCTGGGCTCACAAAGCGTGTTTGAGACACAGCAACCTTTCCCTTGACCTTGATAACCTCTGGACCTGGTCCAGGGGCTTCTTATTCCAAGGAAGAGGTTGACAAATGAGTCAGCTGCGAGCCAAGGCCGGGTGTCTTTCCATTGAATTTGGAGAGCTCCAGGTCCAGCCCTTGAGCTCGCTAAAGACCGGAGCCAGGCTGACTCCTCCGGGCTCAAACCGGGCTCCACCCTGGCCGGAGGAGCCTCCGGAGGGGAATGACTGTCACCAAAGCCGCTGGAGGATGCTATATATAAAAAGCAGCGCCAGTGCCAGGGTTAAATGCAACCGCGCCGTTTCAGCTTGGGCTGGGCTGGGCTGGGGTGAGGTTTCCTGCTGGGCAGCCTGGCAGCAGGGCTGTGCGTTTCCCATCCCTCTGCCTCTTCCGGCTTTTTTCCCCCCCCCCCAAAGGCCGGTCCCCGCACTGGCCCCAGCAGGCTGACGTCCCAGGGGCGCAGGCTCGAGGGGAGGACGAGGGCTGTGGCGTCCGGCCCCCATGCTAACCCCTGGCCTCTGTGCTTTGCAGGACCTGTGCGGTGCCACCACGTGCGACACGCTGGGCATGGCCGACGTGGGCACCATGTGCGACCCCAAGCGCAGCTGCTCCGTCATCGAGGACGATGGGCTGCCGTCTGCTTTCACCACGGCCCATGAGCTGGGTAAGGCGCTGGGGGAGGCTGGGGCTCCCTTCGACCTGCTGGTTGTCCCCAGTTCCTCTGGGCAGCTCTGCACTGGTTGGGCTTCTCCGGGCTCAGAGCGCAAAGGGGGAAACAGGCACAGGCACACTGGCATGACGTAGCCATGGCGTATCACATCAAAGCAAGCCAGCGGCCCTCATCCTGGCTCCCTCTTTGGAGGAAAAATGTGTCTGAGTCTGCAAGGTGAATCCTTGCAAGACACTTCCCTGCTCCGTGCCTCAGTTTCCCCCTTTGCAAACCGAGGGGGCCTGCCCTGCCCACCCCAGCGCCAAGCCCGCGTTGCTCAGGCTGCCGCCTCCCCTAGGCCACGTCTTCAACATGCCCCACGACAACGTGAAGGCCTGCGAGGAGGTCTTCGGCCAGCTGAAGACCAACCACATGATGTCGCCCACCCTCATCCAGATCGACCGTGCCAACCCCTGGTCGGCCTGCAGCGCTGCCATCATCACCGACTTCCTCGACAGCGGCCACGGTGAGGCCACGGTGGCGTTTAGCAAGGGACACCCAGGAGCCCCGCACGGCCCGCGTGGGTGCCACTGAGGCAGAGAGGGAGATGAAGGAGGCTCAGGGGAGCCTTTCCCAGCAAGGAAGAAGGTGGCGAGGGAGGCTGGAGACCCTCTGCCGGGGGATGTCCCAGCTTGTCCCATTTCTGCCTTTGTCCCCCGCTTTCCCCATCTCTGAGCAGATCCTGCTCCCGCACACAGTGAAATCCATGGGCTGTTGGTAGGGGACAGCCGTTACGATCATGGGCCGTAGAGCAACTTTTCTTCCCCCTCTCCAAACAAAACCTGAAGGCAGTAGCGAGTTTGGCAGAGTTTCAGCTTCAGACCAGGCTTGCTTGGTGTCACTAGCAGCAACGTCTGCTCCTGACGTCTGCCAGCCTGGCTCTACTTGGTGGCACCAAGAGATGGAGGCATTCGGGGCCCCTTTTTCTGGTTTTTGGACAAATTTTGTATCTGTAACAAGTAAGCTGGCTGGGAGGCCCCAAGGGAGGAGGTCAGAGCAGACGCTGGTGGCAGGAGGGGAGGGCACCGGGCTGGCTCTGCTGGACTGGCTTGTCTCTCTCCACCCCGAATCTCTGGCAGCCTGTCTGGATGGGTATGCAAGGGGAGGCGAGCTCCTGTTTCCCCGCAGCGGTCCTCCCCCTCGCGCCAGGCCCCCTTAGCTATCTCGCTCTCCCGCAGGAGACTGCTTGCTGGACCAGCCCGCCAAGCCCATCTCGCTGCCAGAAGACCTGCCGGGCGCCAGCTACAGCCTGAACCAGCAGTGCGAGCTGGCCTTCGGCGTCGGCTCCAAGCCCTGCCCCTACATGCAGTACTGCGCCAAGCTGTGGTGCACGGGCCAGGCGCGGGGCCAGATCGTCTGCCAGACCCGCCACTTCCCGTGGGCGGACGGCACGAGCTGCGGCGAGGGCAGGTTCTGCCTGAAGGGCGCCTGCGTTGAGAAGCATAACATCAGTAAGTACAGGGTGAGTACCTGCACGCCGCGCGCCGGGGAAGACGGCGCTGCCGGGAAGCCCGGAAACACCTCCGTGCATCGCCCCGAGCTCGTGGCAGCTTCTGCCCGGACGCCAGCCAAGCAATGCGTGGCCTCCTCCCATTAGGGACCTCCAAGTCACGTCCCCACGGGAGACACGGCGAGCTCCGTGCAAAAGCAAAGGAGGGGGAAAAAGCAAACGGAGGGGGGGAAAAGTGTATCTGCTAGGGAGACGCTGCTTCTCACCACGCCATCTCCCGCCAGGTGGACGGCAGCTGGGGGAAGTGGGCGCCCTACGGCCAGTGCTCGCGGACGTGCGGCGGTGGGGTCCAACTGGCCAAGCGGGAGTGCAACGACCCGGTGCCTGCCAACGGCGGGAAGTACTGCGAGGGTGTCCGCGTCAAGTACCGCTCCTGCAACCTGGACTCCTGTACTGCTGCAGGTAAGGGGTGGGAGGCCAACCTGCTCCGGAGCAGCTTTGTAATGGCAAGCGTTGAATGACAGGGCCGGTTGCCTGCTTTGAATGTCTGGTGTGGTCTCAGGGAAGGTATTTTGGATGCTCATCAAGTGCCTGAGTGCATCTGGGAGGGAGACAGCATACTTCTGGGAGACAGCAGGAAGCCAGGCAGAAGGCCCCATAGAGCCAAACTGAGGTGAGCGTCAACCTCGAGGGATGACAAGAAGCAGCTGAGGAAGCACTCAGAGAGATTTCCTACTTCTACCAAAACTGAGGGAAAGGTCTCTAAATATTTCAGCCAGCGGCTAAGTTCAGGGTGACTGGCAGGGAATTGGTGATGGGCCATTCATGTCCTCCTGTCTAGCCCGGCTTGCTCATACCTGCTATCATTAACGTACCCTCCTGCCCTTCACGCTGAGCTGAGAGGACTGTCAAAACCCAGCTTGTTGTGGGGGTTGGTGGTGGGCAGATGGCACCCCCTGTGCTGAGCAGTGGCGAGCTCATCTCAGCAGTGGGGAATACTTTGCTCAACTCGTCTGGGAGCAGAGGCACCGCTCACATCTCCAGAGCAAGCGGCTGAATTTCACCCCACCACAGCAGAGCTGAACTTGGAGCAAGTCAAAAAAAATGTAGCAGCCTTTCAGGGTGGGGTGGGAGAAAAGCCCTTCTCAAAAATATCAAATTCTTTGACTGTATCAGAGTGCTGTGGTGGAAACATGCCCCAAAATATCCCCCCAAATGTCAAAGGTGACCCTGCCGCTTGCACTGCGCTGCTGTTGCACTCTACATCCATGGGCAACCACGCTGCACAAGGAGGTGTAAAAAGCCTCCCGCCCGCGCTGTGCTGAGGCTGCAGCCGCTGACCCTCAGCAGAGGGGACTGCACAGCCGCTGCAGGGTGTGCTACCCCGCGATAACCCAATGAATCCAAGCTGGAGAGCCAGGTTGTCCCCTGGTACCGTTGTGCGTGGCAGTGGGTGCTAGCTCGGAGTGTCTGTCCTGGCCCTGATGCCCCGCATGCCTCGTTTCTTCCAGTGCCAGGGAAGAGCTTCCGAGAAGAGCAGTGTGAAGCTTTCAATGGCTACAGCCACAGCACCCACCGCCTCACCGCCTCCATCTCCTGGGTCCCCAAGTACTCCGGAGTCTCGCCTCGGGACAAATGCAAGCTCATCTGCCGGGCCAATGGCACGGGCTACTTCTACGTGCTGGCACCCAAGGTTCGTGAGAGCAGGAGACCATGACCATAGCTGGGGTCAGCGTCAGAGCCACAGGGGGACTCGGGTGCACCGGGAAATGAATGAGGAGACATTTTCCTTGTGTGGTGGGCAGTTGGTATTTTGGATTTTCTATCTGGGAGGCTGTGACTATCACACCTGGAAAACACTCGCTGTTGCTTGGGTATTTGCAGTGGGAAGCATACAGAGGTTTGGGGGGGGATCCACCATGCACGTCTTGGGTTGGTATAAATCAGTGCGTTTGTATCGGCTTATTTAATACAAGGATGGATTTGGTCTTACTCTGGGCTGTTAAAGCAGCATCTAGGCTATGCCCACAGCCCCTGATGAGAAGCTGGGAGAAAGGATGATAATTAGGCAGTGCACTAGGGGAAGCGATGCTCGTGTGCGAGCCCGGGCAGGCAGCCAGACACGGGACTGAGCGGGCTGGCGTGAGCTGTCTTTCCAAAGCAGCCAGTTTCTCAAGGCCGGTTCCCTGAGTTCCCCCTGCACCAGTGCAAAGGAAGGACAGAAGATGATGGAGGGGTAGCAGATAAGGAACGTAGTGCCATATAGGTCTGTTCAGAGACCCAAAAAGGGTCTCTGCAAAGCAGAACATGAGGGAAGTGTGCTACGGTGTCTGCTAATGCCCCCTCAGGACCAGCGTGCCGGATTCGGGGAGCCCCAGCTTGAGCTATGGAGGGCCAAGTGCTGGGGCATCTGCGGGGTGAGCACAGGGGAATGCAGTGCCTTGTTTTGCTCACCCTCTCGTCCTGGGGTACTTCATGCAGGTTGTGGACGGCACCCCTTGTTCCCCAGACTCCACCTCAGTGTGTGTCCAGGGCAAATGCATCAAAGCGGGGTGTGACGGGAAGCTGGGCTCCAAGAAGAAATTCGACAAATGCAGTGTGTGCGGAGGCGACAACAAGAGCTGCAAGAAGGTCTCGGGCTTATTCACCAAAGCCATGTAAGTGTGAGGCGACCTCCCGTGCTTTGCTGTCTCCCAGCTCTGCCTTTTGGGAGGGGCACAAGGAAGGTTGTGGAGCTGGCAACGGGGCTAAGCCCATCCTGAGCCAACTATCCAGGCTCCAGTCTACGTCAGTGTGTAGAGACCTGAGCTAGCTCCAAAGGAGCAGCAGGACACATTTAATGTGCGAAAAGGGTTGTATGCTCCTGCTGCCTGAGCTACCTCGGGTACATCTATATTATTGAGCCAGAGGAGCTGAAGTCTCTTCTCATATGTAGGTGATCTCAGTCATCACTTCAGTCTAGATGAAACTCAGCACGGAGAAGAGACTTAAAATGATCTTCTGGCACCCCTTATGGGAATAAAGAGACAGCTTTGCGGGTGGGAAAAAATCTCAGGGCTGTACCTACATAGCTTCATGCTGAGGCACAGTTGCAGTGGAGTAAGAGCTGGGATATCAGGTGCGCGAGGAAGTGATTTGCAAAACAGCATGGGCTGGCAGAGGCTGCAACGGGCGGAGGTGCTGGGAGAAGCACAGCACTTGCCTGCTCTGCAGGCAACAAGCTTTGCTCCGCAAGCACTATCGGTCAGGGCGCGAAAGGCCCAATCCCAGCAGAAAGGGCGTCCTGCCAGCTCCTCGCCTGATGTCTCACCTGCTCTTCTCTTCCAGGCATGGCTATAACTTTGTGGTGGTCATCCCAGCGGGAGCCTCCAACATCGACATCAGGCAGCGAGGCTACAAGGGGCTCATCAGCGATGACAACTACCTGGCGCTGAAGAACGGGCAAGGCAAGTACCTGCTCAACGGCCACTTCATCGTCTCGGCCGTGGAGAGGGACCTGATGGTGAAAGGCAGCGTGCTGCGGTACAGCGGCACCGGCACCGCCGTCGAGAGCCTCCAGGCCTTCAAGCCCATCCAGGAGCCCCTTACTCTGGAGGTGCTCTCCGTGGGGAAGATGACTCCTCCCCGGGTGCGTTACTCTTTCTACCTGCCCAAGGAGAGCAAGGAGGACAAGTCCTCGTACAAGAAAGAGGGGAAGAGCCCTCCGGACCTCAACAACAGCGTCCTGAGCCTGTCCAACCGCTTGGACGTGGGCAGGCCCAATTACAAGCGTCCCTCCTACAAGTGGGCGGCAGGAGGCTGGGAGGCTTGCTCCGTCACCTGCGGCAACGGGCTGCAGAAGCGCGCGGTGGCCTGCCGCGACTCCTACGGCCAACTGGCCTCCGAGTGCGACGCGGCCCAGCGGCCCGCCGACGTCAGGATATGCGCCCCGGCCGGGCAGCTCCTGCCCCGGGATAGTTGCAATTTTAGGAGGAAGCCTCAGGAGCTGGACTTTTGCACCTTGCGGCCGTGCTGAGCGGGCTGGGGGCGTTGCCGAAGAAAGCATGGTGTCTCTCTGGCTGGAGATGCGTGGCTGAAGGTGGAACAGCAGCCAGGGGTTGGGAGAGGGGGAGATGTCCGAGGGCGAGGGGTCTGTTACATAGCACATATCAACTGGACAAAGGGCCTGTGCGTGGGGAGAGCGCGCGCCCGCGTGACGGCAACCCTGCGCGCTCAGGCGAGAGGGCCTCGGCGCGGTTTTTATAGACCAGGTTGCTCGGAGACGGAGCGGGAATAAACATCTACCTCGAAGCTGCCGAATTACGCGAAAACCCGCCGCCGACCAGGGGACGCTGAGAATCGGGGGGACAGACGGAAACGCCGGCTGGAGCGGTCTCTGGGGAGCGCTGCCCGGAGGGCATGCAGAGCATGTCCCTATATTGCACAGATCAAGCCTCCCGCTGGCCTTCCCAGGGCTAAGGCTACCTCCCTCCTCCCCCCTTCCCTGACCCCCCCGAACCCTCGTGCTAAATGGGACCAAAAGGAATTACCGATGCAACGATGGCAAACTATACTGTCTAATACCAGTGCGACGAGGTGCTGGGGCTCGCGGGAACTGACGCCTTCAGGGCTTGCCGGCAGTGACTTCGCAGCCTGGACGCACCATCGCTGCTATCCAGAGAGCCTCAGCAGCGTCTCCGTACCGGGCTGCAAGGTGGTGGCTTTATTTTTGTTTTCTCCTCATGTTTATGATCTGAACCGTGTAGATGTAATGGTGCTTAACTCTGTATTTTTGACCTCCTCCCTCCTCCTGGGTGTAAACCTTGTGCAGTGGGGACGGCGTTATTCCCAGTGGGTCCTCTCATAAGGCCAGGGTTTTCCTACGGTGCTTCGGGAAGAGGCTGGGGGCTGAGAACATATCTTGGCTAACTGGGCACACAGTTCACAGCCGGACGCTCATTTACACCCCAGGCCAGGGCAGGGTGTGAACTGCCCACCTAAGGCCCTTTGGGGCTTAAAGGGATCATTATGGAAGTGAGACTTGGGCTTTAATTCCAGATGGCAACAAGCGACTGTACTGTAGTATCACAGCATGGTGCCCCAGCACATGGGCCCAGAAATAGTCCAGCAAGTTGCTCATACTTGACTTTGCTCTGGAAATGGTGCTCACTGCCCAACAGGACCAACAAGCTGTGCCCAGGCATCCTACTGCCCTCTTCTCTCCAAAGTTTGGGTCAGGTGGTTGTTGTTGTTTTTTTCCCCCTGCATTAAACTCCTAGAGAGATATTCTGAGCTGAAATCTAACGGAGATGGGTGCAAATTCTCCCACTACTTCGCTGCCCTGAGCTGTGGCAACCGTCACGGCATTGCTTGTGAACTGCAAGAGTGCAAGAGGAATTCAGGTCCTTGGCCTCTTCTGGGGGGGGAAACGGGACCAGAAGGGCCTAGGTGCACAGGGGAGGAGGGTCAGGGTGAACCTGTCGCTGCTGCGGAGCATCTATGACCAGCTTTTTCCCCTCAGGGTCCTGCCCAGGTGCTTTTGTGCAAGGGTTTATTACGGACCTCAAGCGGTTCTGTAGCATGGTGCCTGCCCCATTCAGAGGCTGCGTCTTACCTCATGCAACGCCCTCCTCACCATGACCCCTTAACGGTTCTTTTTTCCTCCCGTCTCTTGCTCAGATTGTATCGTCAGGGATCGTTTCACTCTTTGCTCTTCCACTGTATAAGGATGAAGGTCACTGGAAGCTCCTGGTGCCCTTTAACCAGCACCAAAAGGTCCCTCAATCAGCATGTTGCCTGTGCACCTGGGGGTGGCTGCGCTGGACTACATAGCGTCACATCAAGTTGACCCCCTTTCTCTCCTCCCACGTCCCCGTTATCGCATGGGGGTGCAGGCATGGGGGAAAGGGCCCTGCCAGGGTCTGGAGCAGCTTTCCAACACAAATAGTGACAACAAACAACATACCTTGTTTCAAGATAATAACAGAGGAACTAACTATCATGCTAGGTCAGACCAAAGGTTTATCAAGCACCCTATCCTGTCTGCCAGCGGTCAGTGGTGAGTACGGTGGGAAAGAGCTCAGGAAACCAGACAGCTGTAGCACAACCCTTCTCTTGATAGCCCTTTCCACTAGCTTAGTGAATTCCTGATGATAATGTCTGCGGACCCATCCTCTATGAATTTATGCAATGCCTTTTCGAACACAGTAATGGTTTTGGTCTCCACAGCGCTTGATACGGCCAGGAGCAGATGTTGTGGTTGCTCTGCACAGCAGGGGATTGGATTTCGTGTCCTAGGAAATCTCTTCCAGGTCTACATTCCCACGAACGTATCATTCATTTTCTGCTGGTTTTCCTGCAGAGCCGAGCCTACGGGGCTTTTGTTTGGGGACAGAGTTCTGAGGAACTGCTG